AATAGCTGATGAACTAAAGACTCACCTGAGTCGAGCCAGCTTGTCTGCTGTGGAGTCTCTCGAACCTGCGCACAGACACAGTGATTAGACAACTGCAGTTGTGCATTAGTGTGCAGCTGAGTACCAGTGCGTAGCTGTGTACCTGTCGTAGCGAGTGAAGGCCCCGTTCAGGGTGTCGTTGAGAATCAGCAGCTCTTCAATCAGCCCCTCAGCCCCGACCTGAGGGATCAGCTCCAGAACCCGGGTCTGCATGACGCGGCAGGTCCGGTTGAGCTCCTGGCAGGGAGAGAGAGAGACGGGCTAAAATGTTCATATGTTCATTTGGGAGAGGGAGGATTCCTGAACCGAACCGAACTGAGAGGCAGGGCGACAGGGAGAGTCACACCTGCAAGAGCTCCAGGTCCGAGGGCTCCACGCGACCCGGATTCACTCCGCTCAGCATGTCCGACATGACTGCCACGTTCCCCCGAACCACTTCCAGGTCAGCCGAGAGCTTCGCCCTCTGGGGGAGCATGGAGAGAGTCAGTGAGCCGCAGCCCGTCAGCGCTGACAGCAGTGCTGCTCGTCTCAGGGTACCTGCTCGGAAGAGGGGTCGAAGGGGCCCCCTGTGCGCGCGGGGCTCTGCGCTGGGACAGCAGGGGGCGCCGTGGAGTCCTGAGGTGAAGCGTGGGAGGGATCGGTGTCCGGAACACTCTGGAAGGACGGGAGAGACAGGAGGGATCAGCATGACCACAGAGACGCAGGACAGAACACACACTCTCTCTCCGGCCCTCCTGACTGCCACAGGCGCTGAACACATAACCTGAACAACACAACACAGTACAGACAGAGTCTACACACCTGCTGTGGAGTGTGTACAGAGCACAGCACAGTACAGACAGTCTACACACCTGCTGTGGAGTGTGTACAGAGCACAGCACAGTACAGTCTACACACCTGCTGTGGAGTGTGTACAGAGCACAGCACAGTACAGTGTCTACACATCTGCTGTGGAGTGTGTATAGGGGACAGTACAGCAGGTATACCCACTGTGGAGTGTGTATAGGGGACAGTACAGCAGGTATACCCTCTGTGGAGTGTGTATAGGGGACAAGGCATCCAGGTCAGTCATTGGGAACTCCAGTCCTTTCCTCCTCAGGTCTTCGTACACCGACACCACTCCTGTCAGAGATGGAGAACTCCGGA